TGTGGCAGGTCTTGTGCATATGTTACGGTTGTTTACCTTGTTGTTTGTGTAGGACTCCGAACAGTGTGTGTGAGGGGGTGTCTCTCTTTTCCTTGGTCTTGGGGCACTTCTCTGAAAGAATGACAGGGTTGTAACCCTCTTAGAGAATGGTCAGACTGAGGGCAGCAGGCCCTAGGAAACCCACCTGAGGATGTGCTGCCCACAGACCCAGAAAATTACGAACCACATAAAAAATGAGGTCCAGACACTTCCTGCTATAAACTAAAGGATATGATAGATTATATATCATAGTTGTTAGAGGGAACAAGTTTCTTACAGACAAGAAATGGGATGTCTAACTGTCAGAGAAAATGGGTCTGCCCAACACTATGCACATTTGAAGTATATTGGCAACTAAGAACTTTTCTCTCCTGAAACTAAACTTCCCTGAATCAGATCAACCTTATATTAGAAATTTAAAAAAAAATTCCAATCACATATTTCTGAAGGATGATCCCCAATCATTTCCTATCTACTGGTTCCTAAACTATTTGTAACATTTATAAGACAAATCTGAAAGTGGAAAACAATGCTCAGGACTTCTAGAAACCAGAACTTCAGTTTTCAAATCTGTCTTCCCATTGCACATCAAAATAAATGCCTGTGTGTGCACACTGGACACATAAATTACAAGCATTATGTCCTTCCATAGCCAGGGTGACAGAGTCCCCTCCTTCCCAGGGAATCCACATCCAAGAAGGCTCAGGAGAGAAGAATCACTGCCTAGGTCACAAATGGACCAAGAGAACCACATTCTGACTCATAGTATATTCCAGTCCCAGCAGCTCTGACAGCTCAGTAGAAGTGCTCTTCCAGGTCTGGGGTCAGTGAACCCCACATTTCCTGTGACAAGGCTTGTGGTCTCCTTCACAGCTACTTACATCAGAACCAGAGGAGAATCTTGGAAAGGGCATGCAACCTATCTCCCACTGCTACTGCTAATTGCAAGGCCTTCCCAGAGCCCCACATTACCTAAACTCACCCAGCTGGGCCTCAGGACATTAGCAGCTCCCCTACTAGGTGATCAAAGGACTCAGACAGCACAGGCCTTCTCAGCTCTGCCCTTCTACCTTATGGAGAGACAGGGTCCTAATCTGGGGAATTTGTATTTTAGTAGAAATTGTTCCAGTCTCCCAGAGCACTTTCTGTTTCTCTTGCAAGGAGCAGCATCTTTAGGTGAACATCCCACTACACACTCAATGTCCAGTGCAGCCACCCATTGCCTCATAGCTGGGAAGTCCTGTAGCCAAACATAGGTCACATCCAAACAGCAACTGTTGTTAAAGCAAAAAGAGCGCATCAATTAGAAAACAATGAGGGATCAAGAAAGGGCCTGTAGGCAGGAAAGAGACTGTGGACATGATGTAGTTATAATGTCAGAGAATCCTTTGGAAAAGTTGAAACAGGCTTCATGGCCATGTGCTCCAGGGATTTGTTTGAGAGGATTTCTCATACCTTTCCTCTCAGGCTGGACATCTTAAACCAGGGAAATCCAGTCCTGTTAGTCAGGGCCACAACATTTTACCCAGGCCTTCAATTTTGGTTGAACTTGACTAGTGTAAGGGCAGTGATTTGGTTTCACAATAAGGTCAGTCCTTCATTCAGATTCTTTATTGCCCTGGTCTGTGGATCCCAACACATGACCAGTCAGGACATTTATGGATCACCTAAAATTGATGACCTGACTCCCCACTGCTAATCTCCACTGCGGTCACATCAGGAAGGCCCTCACCCTCCTGCTGCCCCCCCTGTCTGCACTGTCACTGAACCTGCTCCAGTGTTGTCAGGGAACTCAGTCCTTGCACAGGGCCCTCTTCATCTTTAAGTCCCCAGGAAAGGCCAGAGGTAGTGGAGGACACTCATTCACTGGTCTAATTTTCCTTCTCATGGACCAGTCAAGGCCCAGCAATGAAGATTTCTTTCATCCTTCTTTCTGCCTCTCCATTTCTACACTGTCACACTACACCAGATTCAAAGTTGTTTGATGAACTCAATTTTTGCAAAGGTCCCTCTTCTTTTGTATGAGCCCAATAAAAGCCAGGGTGATTGGAGGACACCCATTAGCTCAAGACAGCCTGGAAGTCACATGACTGTCTTCTCAGCACTGGGCAGCAGAGGCAGGATTAGGTGTTCAAAGCAGTTCTCAACTTCATACCAGGAGGCAAGCTGAAGCTACAGAAGACATTACTCTACATAGATATAAATAATCAATAGCACTTGAGAAAAGAAGCAATGATATTATTAATGACTGAGAAATATTGGAGAACAGAAACGAGTAGAAAATAAAGAAGCAATGCATTTAAAAAATGAAATTTTAAAAGATACCAATAATTGATGTTATAAAATGATAAATATAATTTATTCTTAAAATTAAAAACTTTACTATATTGTCATTGGAAAAGACTAGGCCCTATAATAAAGGATATGTCATTAATAAGAGATGGATCTAACTTTCCCATAGGCACATGTTGGCTGCTGACATTAGTAACCAGGAACACAGGTAAAGTTACAGTCGAATGGAGTGTTCCTCACTCGTTTTTTGGTAATGTAACTGTGTCAAGCAGAATTGAACATATCTGCATTGGAGTTCCCTAATTGGAAATTCAATATTCTTTGGCTCAAGTTAACAATCACAAACTGTATCCCACCAATCTGGTGTTCATTCACATGACATTGATTAAAAGATGCTGGGAAACTGTAAAATCATTCCTCATCCCATAATCAGGACCTTTTTCATAATGGTGACTCCAGCAGTTGATCAGATGTAGCAGGAATCTTAAAGGTACTTATTAATAAAATCAAACCTGAGGCCAGTTATTGGGGTGAACCCTGGAAGATCAGAGCCAGAAGAAGCCACAGCTATCTCTCACCTTGCCAATTCCTCAGCTGGTCTTGCTTCCTCAGACTGGAAACTTCTGTGTCCTCATCCCAATGGCTCTCCGCTGAACTGCTGCTGCTAGAAGCCTGAATGCTTAACCAGCCAAATGCTTAACCAGCCAAATGCTTAACCAGCCAAATGCTTCTAGTTTCTGGTCCTCACGCCTTATATATCTTTCTGCTTTCTACCACCACTCTCTGGGATTAAAGACTGGCTTTCTGGGATTAAAGGCGTGTGTCACCATGCTTGGTTTTTTCCAATGTGGCCTTGAACTCACAGAGATTCAGAGGGATTTCTGTCTCTGGAAGGCTAGGATTAAAGACATGTGCTATCACTACCTAACTAGTGGCTTTTCTGTTCTCTGGCCCCAGATAAGTTTATTAAGGAACACGATATTTTGGGGAACACAATACCACCACTGCCCTATTTCCCCCTGCAGTGTACAAAATAAACTATTCCTCTTCATCTGATCTGAAGACAGAAGCCTAGCTCCACATGCAAATCCTTTTCCTGTGACTGCAATGGAGAGTCGACTACATGAGTTAAATGGGCAATTTTAAAACTCTGAGGTGGTACAGTCATTTAATTTAAAAAATGTTGAAAGTGTAATATAGAGAACAGCAAGGTCATTGCCCGGGAGAGGAATAGGCTGGAATCAAGGCCACCTAAGTCAACATAGGAGAGCTTATCTCAGAAACATTTTTTCTAAAAGGCTGAAAATGCAGCTGTTCTAGATTTAATATGCCATCCAAGGGAGAAATGACTCCAAACACTTACAAGATTAACAAAGAATCAACAAATCACTTTATTGATACTATGCATGGCTAATGCTCAAAGGGAAGACAGCCTAGACAGACTTTGATTCCACATATCCTGTCGTCCTTACTTTCTTTTGGGTTCATTGCTGCAAGCCACGGGAAAGTTTAATGGAATTCGGCTATTGTGAGAAACACGATTACTTGGGAAGGTCAAGGACTTTTCTGAAGGTCAAGCCATGGCTTAAGAAGTCTTGGTGATATTTTAGCTTTTGTATATATATTAGCCAGTTCCTACAATGATTTTCTCATATGCTATATATGCTTCTAAGAACTTCTATGCCTAGGATCCTAGGTGTAGCTTTGTTTCTTGTGCAAATGAAGCTCAGACCCTCCTTTCTATCAAAGCCCAAATGGCATTCCAGAGCAATTGACTCAGAACAAAAGGGTTTTTTGCATACCGTGTGCAAAGTAGCTTTGAGACAGGTTTCCTGGCTCCCAAAGTTACCCCACCCTGCCATTATATGTCAACACAGGAAAATAGAGGCTGTTTTATTTGAGTGACTTATAGATTCATTTACCTAACCATGTGTAAGATTGTAGTTTGAGCACAATTTATGATAGACTCGTAACGTTTCACCTAAACATTTATAAGAATATTTTGAGCACATAAATTCCCAGGCCTTATCTGACCCCACCTCCTCTATTCACTCCCCTTTTGGGTTGCAAATGTAGCTGGCTATCATGGCTCTGGTAGGGAGCTTGGAAGCTTATGTCTCCTAAGAACTGGTAAGACCTTGTATCTTCAATTCTATTTCCATCAACTCTACTTTTCTGCATCACAGTTCAGCAGTGGAGTGCCACTTTGCACAGGAGATACTGTTTAAAAGCTTTACAGAATTAACCCCCGATGGATTCTAAACCTAAATGTGAAAAGTTCTAAGGGCAGTGCTTCTGAAAGATATGAGAGGGACCAGGGCTCTCTGAGTTCACCAAATCTGTATTCTATAGCGACAACATAAGCACTAAGGATGCTGGCATTTCACAGTGATGTTAGCACCAAGGTTATTTCAAAGCACAGCCCCGCTCCCAATGCTCTGCACAGATGCAGCCGGCAGAGAAAGTTACACAGAGGCTGCCAGCTGGCCCAGGAATTGCAAAGACCACACAGGACCATGCAGAACTACACCACGTACTACCAGGCAAGAACATGCCGAACTCTTGAGTCTGGCCCCTGGCTCCCACCCAGCCAGGAGAGAACACACCACACTGGCTCCCATGACTCAACTGGCCACTCCTCCCAGTCTGGGGATAGGCCCCTCGCTCACCATGTCGTGGTTTTCCAGCTGGCCCATGCTCTCTGCTCAGCTCCCTGCAGCAGCACTCACAGCACAGCACACAAAACCACTGGCGCCAGCTTCTCTTCAAAGCCGAGCCTGAAGCTGGTGACCGGAAAGACCCTGCACAAGTTCTGACTGGCAGGTCACCTGGAGGGCCTGATTGGCTAGTGAGACCTGAGTGACAAGAGCACCTCCCACTGTGCTTAAAGACACAGCACAATGATTTCTGACCCTGCCTTCCAACCCAGACCCAGACCTTTTCTGAACCAGCAGAGAGACACATTTCAATGGCACCTGCCCCTGGCTCTAACAGCAGACCCTGCTCTCTTCCTACCCTCCATAGGCCCTTCCCCTTCATCCTCCTGGACACAATGTGGGTAGCTAGCTTTTACAGCACACTATACTATGTGGAGTGGAGTGATTCCCTGTCACACAGGAGGATGGATACCCAGAATATTAACAACTAAAGAAAGATTTAAGCACACAAAAGGAGATCTTTGTTAGGTGGCTTCATGCTGAGGTCAGGTGAATTGAATGTACTTTTTACCTGCTTGTCACAGGGACTTCAGACAACCAGGAAAGAATAACAGAAACTAGATCACAAACAAGATAATAGGTTTTTCCTCCCATTAGAAAGCTGGATGATGGCTCCATTGCCTAAGGAGTTTTATTCCTGAAATTCAGAGCAAAGTGTTGGGTAATTAAATAATAATAAAGAGTAGCCTTCATGGAAAGTTGAATACTTAGTGGATAATGGAGCAAGGAAGAATGTGTTTATGAGCACCATTGTTAGCCAGCACATCTTCCTCAGTGGGCAAATTAAAAAGAAAACAAACTGTATTATTCAAGCTCCTCTACAAGAACAGGATTCGTAGAGTGAATCTCTCCATGTATGTACAAAGTTGATTTAATAGACTGTCTTACAAGCTGTGGTCCAGGTAGCCCAACAATGTCTGCCTACCAATGGAAATTTGAAGAGTCCAATAGTTGTTCATTTCATGAGGCTAGATATTTCAGTTGGTCTTCAGTATACACCAAAATACCAAGGAAGTAGGCTGTAATGCTGGTGCAGGAATGAACTTGATAGCTAGTGCTAGGGCAAGGAAGCAAAGAGAGAGAGAGCTTCCTCTTTCAATATACTTTATATATGTAGTCTGCCACCGAAGGTGGAATCCAGATTAAATGTGGATCTTAAACTTTTTTAGTGTTCTCAAGACAGGGCTTATCTGTGTAGCCCTGGAACTCACTCTGTAGACAAGGCCAGCCTCAAACTCGGGAAAATCCAACTGTTTCTGCCTCCTGAGTGCTTGGGTTAAAGGTGTACACAGTCACCAAGCAGCTGAAGGTCGATTTCATCTCAAATGATTAAGATTAAAGATGGGTCTTTACAGCCACACTAGTAGAAGTCCATGAACTGTGGACTGGTGGCTGTGGAACCCCGGTGGGACTGGACTAGGCCCTCTGGATACGGAAGATGGTTGTTTGGCTCAAACTGGGGGGCACCAAGGCAGGGGGATTGGGATCTGTCCCTGGTCTATGGGCAGGCTTCTGGAATCCAGTGACTGTGGTATGACACCTTGCACAGCCTTGGTGCAGTGAGAAGGGGCTTAGACCTGCCTAGGCTCGGTGTGCTGGGCTTTGCTGACTCCCCATGGGAGACCTTGGTTTGGGGGATGTGGGTTTTCAGGGTGGCTTGGAAAGAGGGCTGAGGGGTGGGAGGAGAGAGGAGGGGGGTCTGTGGATAGCATGAGGAGTGAGTGGAAAATTTCTTAATAAACAAAAATGAAAAAAAAGAATAACAAAAAAGATGAGTCTTTAATTTCAAAACATTAAAAAAATTCCTCACAGGTACACGCAACTCTGGGTTTTATTTAATTCTAGAAGTAGTCAGTTTGACTACCAACTGGCATCATAACAGCCAAGAAAGAAAAAATGAGAAAAATTTCTTACCTGCAGGAGTCAGGGAAAGCATGCTTTTCCTAAACAAAGGAAGTTTGTAGATTTTACTTGGGAAATTTGGACATGTTCATATAGAATTCCCCCTATTCCTTAACAGGCAAGTAAATAAATCTGCTTCTGATCACAATATAAAAGCGGAGACATTTATAACATTTATAGACAGTCTATTAAATCAACTTTGTACATACATGGAGAGATTCACTCTACGAATCCTGTTCTTGTAGAGAAGCTTGAATAATACAGTTGTGTTTTCTTTTTAGTTTGCCCACTGAGGAAGATGTGCTGGCTAACAATGGTGCTCATAAACACATTCTTCCTTGCTCCATTATCCACTAAGTATTCAACTTTCCATGAAGGCTACTCTTTATTATTATTTAATTACCCAACACTTTGCTCTGAATTTCAGGAATAAAACTTACTGCAATGTCATGCTGAAACATATATAAACTATAAAAGTGATGGAGCATGCCTCTGGCATGCTCATCTTGTACCACAAGGTCTTAGCTGAAAAATCAATAAAGGACACAGGGAAAAAATATTGCTTTGGTGCCTATGCAACCTGTCAGTCTTGATGTTCAATCTAGAAGATATCTGTACCAATGCCATTCTCACAGATAGAAAAGATAGAGAACACAAATACAAAAAACTTCAAGGAAAGGTCACTTAACAACACTGTATACTTTGCTTTTAGATGAATGGTTACTATGAACTATGTTAACCTCAAAATAAAGCTACTTTTGCCTCTGAGCAGTCTGGCTCAGTGGAAGGCGAGAGCTCCTTCCATGCAAGACCATAGAGATGTCATTTTAACTAGCCCTGGCTGCTGTCTGTCTCAGGACTGACATCACTATAGAAAATTTCATTCTTCCTTTTTTCTAACATTTAAAAGAAATTAAATTATATGGGTGTTTTCCATGCATGTGTCAGTACACAGTACTTACAGATGCCAGAAGAAGGCTGGAGATGCCTGGGACTGGAGTTACAGCAAATTGTTAACTACCATGTGGATTCTAGATATGGACCTGGGTCCTCTGTAACAACAGCCAGTGCTCTTAATTGCTGAACCATCTCTCTAGCCCATCTTTTTATTTAAATTTTACTTCCATAAATTGTTAATTAAAAGATATTACATCCATTTTCCCTTTTGTCGCTTCATTCACTGCATTCCCAAATCCCTTCTAAATTCTTCCTCAGTGTGGGTGAACTGTTATGCCCAGATCATGGGGATCGCCAAAAGACCACCATGAAGACTGAATCCTGCATGTAAAAGCAAAGAGCCTTTTTTTCAGGCTCTGGGGCTTGGTCCCTCCCTCCGTCTGTCTGATGCAGTGGTGGTGAGAGCAGAGATCCCCAAGGTCAGCTGGGGTGTTTTTTTTTTTTTGTTTGTTTGTTTTTTTTTTTTGTCATAGTAGGGGTTGGAGTGAAGGGATTTCCAGGGTTTAGGACCCTGACTGGCTGACAATTGTCTAGGGGTGTCTTGGTAAGAAGGAAAAATAGGTGTGTACTAGGCTCAAGGACATCTGGCCACCTTATCTAATGGTTGAAATGTTTCAGATGTTAGGTACTTCCCCATCCCTGAGTTGGTCCCTGGGTGGTGTTAGCTTATAACATTTTCTTGACTTAGCTTCTGTGACAGGCTTACTGGTAGGCAACACCTGGATCCATAAACTAATACCACCCAGGGATCCACCCAAGGATGGGCCTGCAACTAACTGAAAGTATCTGACATTCCAAACATTTCAACCATTACATAAGAAAAGATAAAATCAAGATCACCAAATGTCTGTGTAAGGTGTCAGGTCCCCTAGAACTGGAACTACAGACAGTTGTGAGCCACCATGAGGGTGCTAAGAAATTAATCCACATCTTCTGGAAAGATAGTCAGTGCTTGTAACCACTGAGCCATCTCCCCAGCTCTATCATTCAGTCGGTTAACTCTAATTTTAAATGATGGCTTTAGAACTGGAGACAGATTTTTTACTTCTCTCTCCTTGGTGATTGGAGCATTGATGTTGGTGTTTCCCTTTTAAACATCATTTTACTTAATATTTCAATTTTAATAGATTAAAGAATGAATGCCTACTAGATTAAATTAATAAATAAGTAGTTTTCCAGTAAGTAGTAAGTGCCTATCAACTTGATAAAAACAAATAACCTAATCTTACAATGTATCTAATGGCTCATACTATTTTATAAATTTTTCATCAGAAATAACTTCCAACCAGGTGTTGGTGGCACACGCCTTTAATCCTAGCACTCGGGAGGCAGAAGCAGGCAGATCTTTGTGAGTTTGAGGCCAGCCTGGTCTACAGAGCAAGATCCAGGAAAGGCGCAAAGCTACACAGAGAAACCTATCTTGGAAAAAAAAAAAAAGGAATAACTTCCAACCCTATGCTTCACTGTTTTCCATATTCTTTAACTTTATACAATAGGAAAGGTATTTTTCTTCAAATGTACATAAACTGGTACTGAAGTATTTGCTAAGAGTGTTTGAGATGTGTAGTTAAAGTATAAATTAAAAATTAGAACTTAAAAGTATAGAAATGTAATTGACTGGGAATTCCTGCTTATTAGTCAGGGTTCTCTAGAGTCACAGAACTTATGGAATAAATCTCTCTTTATCCATTTATTATCTATCTATCTATCTATCTATCTATCTATCTATCTATCATCTATCTATCGTTCTATCTATCTATCATCAATATCTGTGTATCTACACACACACACACACACACAAACACACATGGTGGTGTATTTGGGAGGACATGGAGGTATGAGAAGGGAGTGTGGGAATTTGTTGGAATGCCTTAGAGGCGGTAATCCTAAAATAGCAAGGTATGAATGGAAAGTTGATGAATCTAGTAGCTGCTCAGTCCCACTAGTCCTGATTGTGGGCCAGGCAGAACTGGAGAGAACTTCAGCTGAATGGCTGTCTCAGCTATTTTTTTTATATGCTGGAATCCCAAGGAAAGAGGCTTCAATGCCAGGGAAAAAATGGATGTGCTGACAAGGCCAGTGAAAGCAGACAAAGAAGTAATACATAATCTTCCTTTTTCTCTTGTCCTTCAAGCAGAAGGTGTGACCCAGATTAAAGGTGTGTCTTCTATCCTCAAAGTCTAGATTAAAGGTATGTGTTATTTAGCCTCAAGATCTGGATCAAAGGCATGTTGTCTTCTTGCCTCAACATCCAAATCACAATTGTGCCCTCCATTTCTGAATTATAGTTCATTCCTCTTGTATAATATTGTGGGACCAGCCTTAATATTATACATACCAGGGGCTCAGGAGTGAGAACTACTCTTCCATCTCCTTCTCTCTCATCTGTTTCTTCCTCATCTTGTTCTTCACCATCTGGCTCTTCCTCATTTCCCATCTCATTCCTCTAGTACTGTCTTCTAGCCCTTCAATCTAGTTCTTCCCCATCTCAGTTTGTTCCTCTCAAGTTCTTACCCATCTAGTTCTCCCATTCTCTTTTCTCTTCTCCATCCCCTTGTGCCCTGGGCGTCCTGGTATATATACACATACAAGCAGTAATCCCTTGGCAGTGCAAAGCCAGGCTATTAGGGTCAAATGGAGGGTTGATAAGAATCCAATGGAGGCAATAATTGTTAATTATCATTTGCAACCCAAAAGAGGAGTGACTAATGGGGAAATGAATTAACTAAAGGCTAAATTCAAGTAATATCTAAGAAGAGGGCTCTTATGTGCTCAACTATAATCTTAAATGTGATTGGTAGAAAATGTTAAGAAGCTTTAAGTTGCCGGGTGGTGGGGGTGCACGCCTTTAATCCCAGCACTCGGGAGGC